GCAACCTCCGCCTCCTGGGTTCAGGCAATTCTCCTGCCTCAGCCTCCCGAGTAGCTGGGATTACAGGCACGCACCACCATGCCCAGCTAATTTTTTGTATTTTTAGTAGAGATGGGGTTTCACCATGTTGACCAGGATGGTCTCGATCTCTTGACCTTGTGATCCACCCGCCTCGGCCTCCCAAAGTGCTGGGATTACAGGCGTGAGCCACCGCGCCCGGCCGATCCTTTTTTTTTTTTTGAGACAGGGTCTCACTCTGTCACCCAGGCTGGAGTGCAGTGGTGTGCACGGGCTCACTGCAGCCTCCACCTGCCGAGCTCGAGCAGGTCTCCCACCTCAGCCTGCCAAGTAGCTGGGACCACAGGCGTGCGCCATTATGCCTGGCTAATTTTTTGTGTATTTTTGTAGAGACAGGGTTTTGTCATGTAGCTTAGGCTGGTCTCAAACAAATGGGCTCAGGCAGTCTGCCCGCCTCAACCTCCCCGTGTGTTGAGATTACAGGTATGAGACACAGTGTCTACCCACCTTGATCTTTTTAGAGAACTAAGTTTTAGTTTCATTATTTTTATTGTTTTCATTTTCCATTGCATTTCTTTTCATCTACTCAGGTTTACTTTGCCTATACTTTTCTAGCTTTTTAAGGTGTAAATAGCTTGGTTAATTGATTTTTATGCCTGCCTTGTTCTAATTACTATTTTTGTTGCATTCCACAAATTTTGATCTAATTTTTTTTTCTTTTTCTTTTTTGCTGCTTTTCTTTTTTGTTATTTGGTCTAATTTTTATACATTATGTTTTTAATTTTTATTTTGTTTACCTATCTAAAGTATTTTAGAATTTTTTTTCTTTTTGTTTGAGATGAGGTCTCACTCATCACTCAGGCAGTAGCATGATCTTGGCTCATCGCAGCCTCCACTTCCAGGACTCAAGTGATCCTCCCACTTCGGCCTCCCTAGTAGCTGGGACCACAGGTACATGCCACCATGCCTAATTTTTTGTATTTTTGGTAGAGATGGAGTTTCACCATGTTGCCCGGCTGGTCTTGAACTTCTAAGCTCAAGTGATCCACCCACATTGGCCTCCCAAAGTGCTGGAATATAATTTTTATTTTTTATTTTTTTTTTTTTTTGTGAGACGGAGCCTTGCTCTGTTTTGCAGGCTGGAGTGCAGTGGCATGATCTTGACTCACTGCAACCTCCACCTTCCAGGCTCAAGCAAATTCTCTTGCCTCAGCCTCCCAAGTAGCTGGGATTACAGGAAATGCAGCACCATGCCTGCCTAATTTTTTTGTATTTTTAGTAGAGATGGGGTTTTGCCATGTTGGCCAGGCTGGTCTTGAACTCCCGACCTCAGGTGATCCACCCACTTCAGCCTCCCATCATACTGGGATTACAGGTGTGAGGTCACCGCACCTGGCCTAGAATTTTTTTTTTTTTTTTTTTTTTTTTTTTTGAGACATAGTCTTGCTCTGCCGCCCAGGCTAGAGTGCAATGGTGCAATCTTGGCTCACTGCAACCTCTGCCTTCTGGGTTCAAGTGATTCTCCTTCAGCTTCCTGAGTAGCTGGGATTACAGGTGCCCACCACCACACCCAGCTAATTTTTGTATTTTTAGTAGAGACAGGGTTTCACTATGTTGGCCAGACTGGTCTCAAACTCCTGACCTCGTGATCCGCCTGCTTCAACCTCCTGAAGTGCTGAGATTACAGGTGTGAGCCACCACGCCCAGCCTTCATTTCTTTTTCTTTTTCTTTCTTTGTTTTTTTTTAGAGACGGGGTTTCACCTTGTTGGCCAGGATGGTCTCGACCTCTTGACCTCGCCATCCGCCCGCCTCGGCTTCCCAGAGTGCTGGGATTCCAGGTGTGAGCCGCTGCGTCCACCCGCCTTCATTTCTTAATATTATTTTCTTTCTTTAAAAAAATTTTTCTTCATACATATTCTGCTTATGTGTATTTCTTTATGTGGATGCAGATTTCTATCTGTTGTCATTACTGCTCTGTCTGAAGAACTTTCTAACGTTTTTTATGGTACATGTACAGTGATGGTGGTGAATTCTCTAAGTTTTTGTTTCTCTGGAAATGCTTTTATTTTGTTGCATATAGAGTTTTAGGTTGACCTTTTTTGTTTTATCACTAGAGATATTCTCTCATTTTCTTCTGTCTTTCATTGATTCCAATGGTGCATTAGTGATTGTTATTTTTGGTGATATTTTCTCTTTTTTTTGCTTCTAAGATTTCTCATTGTCACAGGCTCTTAACAGTTTGGTTAAATGTGTCTCGATGTGATTTTGTGTGTATATATTGCGTGGAACTTGTTGAGTGTCTTTGAACTAAATGTTGGCTTATACTTTGCATCAAATCTGGAAAATTTTTAGGCAGTTCTTCAAATACTTTTGTGCTCTTGTTTCTCCTCTCCCTGAGACTCCAGTTGCACGTGTGTTCATTAGCTTAGGTTTTCTCACAGGTCACTGAGGCTCTGCTTATTTTCTGTCAGCGTTTTTCTATCTGTACTTCAGTTTGTTTCTGTTACTTTATTTATTTATTTTTGAGACAGTTCTGGCTCTGTTGCCCAGGCTGGAGTGCAATGGCACAATCTCGGCTCACTGCAAGCTCTGCCTCCCCAGGTCAAGCGATCCTCTGCCTCAGCCTCCTGAGTAGCTGGGAATGTAGGCGCTTGCCACCATGACTGGCTAATTTTGCATTTTTAGTAGAGACAGGGTTTCACCATGTTATGCAGGCTGGTCTCGAACTCCTGGCCTCAAGTGATCTGCCTGTCTCACCTGGGATTATAGGTGTGAGCCACTGTACCCGGCCCTAATTTAGTTTTAATTTCCTTTCATACATTTCCCATTTAAGAGGCTGTAGGGCTGGGCCATGTGGCTTATGCCTGTAATCTCAGCACTTTGGGAGGCTGAGGTGGGGGGGCCACTTGGGTTGCTGGGATCACAGGCCTGCGCCACCATTCCTTGCTAACCAGCTTAAAGGAAAAAATAATCAGCTTATATTTTCCTGCTGGGTTTATGTGTCTTAGGGTTAATTATTAGCTGTCTGACCTTAGCTATAAAGGAAGCGTGGAGAAGGGGTTTCTAGTCTCCCCAGGATTTGTTCGCTCTGTTTTCGTCCAGGCCTATGGGGCAGGGGGTGCGGGGGTGTGGCAGGGTCTCAGCTTCAGCTCCACCCTGGCCCCTCAAAGGCCCTGAGCTCTTGACTGAGAGCCCCAGGGAGCCTGAGGATCGCCGTCTCTGGAAGGCTGCCCCGTGGGCCCGTCTGCACTTTGGTGGGCTTGGATTTCCTCTCTTGCCTCCTGCCTCCACGGCTTCTGCCATTGCTGAAGTATGGAGAGGAGACTGGTGGTGCCCGAGCAGACCCTTCCTTGAGAATGCTGAGGCTGCGGGGATTTTTCCCTCTGCTTTTAGTTGCTCTGTGCAGCCTCTGGACTCTGTAAATGTCTGTGGGGATGCAGCTGCCATGTATGGCTGTGTGGGCTCAGCGTGGCCCAATGGGCAGCCCAGCCACACTCAGGGCATGAGACAGGTGGACCCCCAACCCCCACACTGCAGGTCATCCAGTGCTTGTGGCTCCACAGCTCCCCCACATCTTTGAGAATGTGGTGTTGTGACTTGCTGGGTTTTGTGTTTTCTAACTCAGTGGCAACAGCGTTCTGAGTCTTCCTGCTCCTTCCTGCTCCAAACCTGAAGGCCCCATCCCGACTGAGCCTTTTCTGCATGAGAGCAGGTCTCCTGCTGGCCTCTTCCTCACCCAGGGCTGTTTCTCAGGAGTGTGCTAGGTTTGAGGAATGCAGGCACGGCGTCCTCGCGGTGGTGAAGGAGATCCCAACTCCCTGCAGGAGTCAGGATTTCCTCTTGAGGGGTCTGCCCTGCTTGAGACCTCAGGAACAACGAGCACCTCTGCAAACACAGGAAGATCCCGTGGCCTCATGACAGAAGCTGTGGGGCTGTGGACTGGCAGTGGGGAGCCGGGAGCTCAGTGCAAACACAGGAAGATCCCCGTGGTCTCATGACAAAGCCGTGGGGCTGTGGACTGGCAGTGGGGAGCCGGGAGCTCAGTGCAAACACAGGAAGATCCCGTGGCCTCATGACAGAAGCCATGGGGCTGTGGACTGGCAGTGGGGAGCCGAGGGCTCAGCGTGAACACAGGAAGATCCCGTGAGCTCAGCGCAAACACAGGAAGATCCCGTGGCCTCATGACAGAAGCCGTGGGGCTGTGGACTGGCAGTGTGGAGCCGGGAGCTCAGCGCAAACAGAGAAAGATCCTGTGGCCTCATGACAGAAGCCGTGGGGCTGTGGACTGGCAGTGCGGAGCCGGGAGCTCAGTGCAAACACAGGAAGGTCCCGTGGCCTCATGACAGAAGCCGTGGGGCTGTGGACTGGCAGTGCGGAGCCAGGAGCTCAGCATGAACACAGGAAGATCCCGTGGTCTCATGACAGAAGCCATGGCGCTGTTGCGTAGCAGTGGAGCCTGGAGCTCAGCACTGCCTGCCGGGCAGGTTGTGGCAGTGATAGATGAGAAGATGATCACAGATGGCGACAAGTGTGGGACCCCCGTGGCACTGGGCTGGATCTGGCTTGTGCGCGAGTCTCTTCCTTCTCTGTGCCCCTGGATGTCAGTGCTGCTGCTGTCCCGTTGCAAGACGTTGAGACGGGCTGGTGAGGCCAGCTCTGAAGCTTCAGGAGGGACAGGAGGGTAGTGCAGTGTGGTGGGCAGACGGAGGGTCCTGAGGACCCAAAGCCTGGGCCTGCCAGGGTGGGGGTGTGCTCCCGTGTGGCTCCAGGGACATCCTCCTGGCTGTGTGTGGGAGCCTACCTGTCCCTGGGCTCTGGAATCTGTGGCACACGTCCCTGTCCCCGTTGGCATAGTGGGTTTTCACGCCCCTCTTGGTCATGCTGTGGTGCCAGGCTGTTCTACTTCAAGCCAGGTCTTGTTCTCTGCTCGGGACCCGGGAGTGTGTGCCATCATGTCCCTGTGGCCTGCCCTCTCCAGGCCTGTTCCCCGCGTGGCCGGGCCCTTCCTGAAATGGCAGCGTTCCCAGACTGCACAGACTTCGAGTCTCGTCTGAGATCCCGTGACCTACGGCTGCCCGTGCACTGCTGCTGCCCTGTGGCCCTGCTCTGGCAACATGGAACCTGTGTGTGTGGACAAAGGGTGGTGTCACCTGTAGCGCCTGGAATCCTGGAGTTTGGACAGGCAGGAAGCCATCGGGCTGGGCACAGGGGTTCGCTGGTGCCTCCTGGTGAGGGGTGCCCTCCACACCTCGGCATTAGCACAGAGAGTGCATCTTGCGGCAGTGGTGCCAGAGGGAGTCACGGAGCAGCCGCTGACAACTGGGGTTGCCCCAGCCTGTGCAGGGGACAGGGCTCCCCATGGCCTCCTGGCAGCCTTCCTCAGGGCCAGTAGCAGTGCTCCCTGGCCACGCACCGTGGTGCTCCCTCAGGTGCCACTGGAGAGGCCAGTGAACCCTCTATGCTGGCCTCAGCTTCTGGGGTGCCTTTGCTTGGGCCATCCCCTCAGGCCCCCAGCCCTCTCCCACTGGTGAGCACCCTCGAACCCAGTGATGCTGAGACGTAGGTCACATGGCAGCTCAGTCAGTAGGGATGTCGGGTTGGGCTTTGTAGACAGAATGAGACTCAGTGCAGAAGAGGATGGCACCACAGGGAGTCTTTGGGGACTGTTGGCTGCAGAGGGTGCTTCCCTGCTCTCTGCAAAGAGACCGCAGGAGCCCCATGGAGGAGAAGCCACAGATGGCAGCCCGGAATTGGCAGGTGGCTGAGACGTAGACCCTCGGAGCGCTGTCGGAGCAGAGACCCGAAGGCTACTTGAGACGGTTGTTTGACAACAGTGTTGGCAGCACCAGGACGCGGACTTGTGGCATTTATGGATTTCATAATACATATTTATAAAGAGAAACCCCCACCTGTTCCCAGACAGAGAGCAGAAGAGCAGATTACCCGCAAGGCAGACAGGCAGGTGCCCCGTGCCAGAGGGCAGTGGGGAGGCTGGCTGTGTGCTGAGCCTAAGCGCGCGTATGTGTGTACATACAGGCAATTGCAAAGGCGTGGAAAAGCTTTAGACAGGCATTCAAGGAGAAGCTGAGTGTTGATTCCCTCTGGGACCCGGACTTCTGCTGCGTGGCTGTCCCTCACTGTGGCTGTTTACCTTCTCACGGCCACGTTCCTGCAGCTAACCTGCCGTGGTTACAGAGCAGCTAGGTATTCTTGGGTTGGAGTGTGGCATAGGGAAGATATTTTTTCTCTCCGTACTAATGGGAATATACTGTTTATACCACCTGCAGCTTGTAAGTTTATTTGAAAAATACTGAAATACAAAAGAATCAGTTTCCTCCAAGTGCCTCCCTTTCAAACGGGAAAGTCTCCCCTGAGGTCTGTGGTGCTGCAGGTGGCAGGCTTGGCGGGAGGTGTGGCCGGGGGGAAACACCCACCAGCCTGCTGTGTAGAAACCCACGTGGGAGCTGGCGGGGACAGGGGTGACAAGGATGGCATGTGGTCGGAAGGGGCCCTGCGCCAGGTGGGCAGCTGGGTGGGTGGGGGGTGGTCCGGAGCGTGTGTGGGGAGCTGCTGGTTTTGTGAGTGTTGGGGCAGGAGTGCCTGAGTGGGGTGTTGAGGGCCCGGGCGTAGGACGCACGCTGTTCTGGTGGGAGGAGGTCACGGTTAAGGGAGAGCTGTTGACTCTGTGCGGGCCGTTCTGACACCTGTCAGTCTGGGTTGGGATGCAAGCAGGCTTCTTTCAAGTGTCAGCCATCTGCTGGCGGAGGTGACGTGTGTTTGTCCCCGAAGGGGCCGGGGTCTTTGGAGGGATGGCCTCAGAAGGGAGGTGAGTCCAGAGGGCCCCGGGGGAGTCCCATCTCGGGGGAGGGACTGAGGTCCCCAGAGTGGGACCAGAGTCCCCGTGCTGTGGGTGAGCGCTGCGCCTCACAGCCTCTCGGGTACCCCCTGTGCCCCCATGTCCCCACCTGGGTACATAGGTGGGGGTGAGGTCTCCACCCCTCTGCTGCCAGCTGCTGCTGTTCCTGAATTTTTGTGGGTAGCAGTGTTCTTTCTACCCTCAGCTGACAGTCTGTTCATCTCCTTAATTATTTTCTTGCTGTGCATTCTTGGAAGAACACTGCACGGTTGGAGGGGTTATTGAGGTTTTGAAATTGTTCGCTCCAAGAAGGAAACATCCATAAGGTTTGTGCTCAATCAGTGCATGACTTCAGTGGCAGGCCCTGGGAATTGCTTTCATTTCTAAAGGATAATAAGAAAAATGGAAGCAAGCTTATTTGTTATGTGTAGCTCAGAGTTCAGTATAGATATCCCCTTTGGAATAATCATCTTCGCAGCTCTGGGGTGAGGGGACCCTGAGCCAGAGGCAGAAGGGCCTGTGCTGTCTCACTTCCCGCCATGGCCGTCAGCGGTGCCTCCCCCTCCCGCAGGTCTGAGTTCACTGACGCCATCCTGTCCGTGCACCCGTCCGACGTGCTAGACATGCCCGTGGACCCCAACGAACCCACCTACTGCCTGTGCCACCAGGTCTCCTACGGGGAGATGATCGGCTGTGACAATCCAGACGTGAGTGTGGCCTGTGGGGTCCGCGCCGTGGGGCAGTCCTGCGTGGGGCGGGGCTGGTGGGTGTTGGCATCTCCTGGGATTCACGTACAGAGCACGAGGTGTGTTGACTGGGCCTTTTCCCTTTATTTTGCAGTGTCCAATTGAGTGGTTTCACTTTGCCTGCGTGGACCTCACCACGAAACCCAAAGGGAAATGGTGAGTGTGGGACTCTCACTCTGTTTTCTCCCAGGCTGCATGGTGTTGTACTGCCGGCCTCCCCGGGAGAGGGCGCTCGATTGCGGGATCTTGTCAGGCTTAGGGCCGGTAGCCACGTAGGCTGCCCCACCGTGGCCTCCAGGAGTGTGGCTGGCGGGCTGGCTGCTCTGGGTGTGGCTGTTTCTCCCCTTTGCTGCTGTGCCTGTCCGAGCTAGCAGAGGGACTTCCTCACCCGGGGACAGCAGTTACCGAGTTGCGTAATATTCACTTTCACATTCCCCTCCTGAAGAACAGCCTTTCTGACTGCGGGAGGTGGTGATCCTCCTACATCAGAAATGAGAGGTTCTTGTCCCCAGGGAGATTTGGGAAAGATACACAGGCGTGAGCCCCGAAGCCAGGGCGTGGGTCTGGGGCTGTGCTCCCGACTGTCTGGCGGAGAAGGGCGTGGGTGTCAGGAGCAGCTTCTCTTCCTGACCCTTGCCTCCCCTCAGCAATGGCAACTCTGCATGTTGTTCCTCAGATTCACTTAAATAAAACCGTGTCATCTGGGCAGCATCAGGAAACCCCAGCTCTACCAAAAATACAAAAATTAGCTGGGCGTGGTGGTGGTGCCTGTGGTCCCAGCTACCCGGGAGGATGAGGTGGGAGGATGCGTGAGCCCCGAAGTCCAAGGCTTCAGTGAGCTGAGATCGCACCACTGCACTCCAGCCTGGGCGCCAGAGCAAGACCCTGTCTCAAATGAATAAATAAATAAAAAGATGAAAACCTGGCTTTGTTTGCCTGTGCTAAAAATCTAAACATGGATATATGTTCTGTAAATGAAATCAGAGCGTGTCCTTCTGTGTGACCCTCAGCGGTCACCGTGGCAGTGTGTCTGAACCTCCGGCAGACTCGCCCCAGGTCGGTGAGGGCCGTCCTCCTTGGTGTTCGGTGTGAGGACGCAGAGGGAAAGGATGCCATGCCTTGCAGGCTGGCCCGGCTCACGGCATCACGCAGTGCTGACACAGGCTGGCCTGCCACGGGCACAGATGGCACCGCGGTGCCCCACACCGTGCGGCCGGGGCGCGATGCACCAGGGTTTCGAGAAGGGGTTGGAGGCTGTTAGGGCGGAGGGCCCTGGGCAGGTGGGGGCTGATGGCTGCATCACATGTGAGCCGGCTGCTTCCAGAGTGGGAACCTCCGGAACGTCCCCAGTGGCCAGCGGCGGCCTCTGTTGTGGAGCCCCCATGTATGCGGCTTCAGAACCTGCCCAGCCCAGAATCACCAGGGAGCGCTTGTGAGGCAGCAGCTTCCAGGGCTGGTGCAGGGTGCTGGGCTGGCTGACTGTGCACCTGAGGGGCTGCCACGCTCACGTGCGCTTGGTACCTACAGCTGCGCTGGACTCCAGATGGAGGGCACCACCAACCCTGCCATCGGCCGGGGAAGAAGGACCCACCTGGCCAGGAGGAACACTGGGGTGTAAAATCGGTTTTGCTCACGATGCGTATCTGTCGCCTTCTGCAGGAGGGCTGCGTCCCCACTCGGCGTGTGTCTCTCCTGCTGCTGTCTCGCCCATGGCCTCTAGCCGCTCTGGGAGAGATGGGGAGGCGGGTACGGGCACCCTGTGCGCTGGTGGAAATGGCGCCCAGGGCCTTACTGCACCTTTCTCGTCACAGGTTCTGTCCACGGTGTGTCCAGGAAAAGAGGAAGAAGAAGTAGGAGCAGCTGCGTGCCCACGTCCAAGGAGCAAGTTAATCTATTCCTTCATTCGTGTTGCAATATTTCCCTTCATTTTAAAATTACCTTGTTTGGTTGATATTTAGTAACTCAACGTCCAGTTGAAATTCTGGATGTTTCCTAAAACAGCCCACCAAGCCCTGTTCGCACAGAAGGGTGACCTTGCAGGGACTCGCCGCCATGACACGAGTGTGGCTTTTACGGGACTTCCCCTGAGCATCAGCAGGGAGCCTGACCGGCCGTGGACGGGCACGCGTGAGCTCAGGCAGCCAGGCCAGGCATGCAGGCAGGGGAGATGCCGTCCCCTGGTCCACACCGCCCTGGCATTGCCTTCCTGTGGTTTTCTAGGACTGTTTGGTACAGCCCGAGCTCCGCGCACCCCACCACCCCTGGAGCACGGCCGCCCGAGACACACGTGGGGCCAGTGCTTCGGCGGCCGGGTGCCTCCTCACATTCCACTCCACGTGGGATCTGGCCGCCGGGCGCTCCTGTTTGGGGCACCACTGGCAGGCCCAGGAGGGCTGGGGGCTCTTCCCCAGAGGAAGTGGCCTCCGCTTCACTGTGCCCTGCCTTTTTAGCTTGGACTTCAGTCCTCCTCCCTCGGGGGATTCACCTCTGGAGTAAACGGCTCTTCATTAGCTTGGATTAGCGGTGGGTTCTGTGACCAGCACCCACAAGACACTGCACAACAGCTGGGCTGATGTTCCGTTTCTCTGGGAATTCGTGACGTTTTTACTGTGAAGATGAAATTATCGTAATAGCATGAAGATCATGGGTCTGTGTGTCTGTGAAGTGAGTCCCGCCTGCTGGAGCTGACGAACCACGGATGTCCCTGCTCGTGCTGTGCGTTCCCAGGCCCGCAGCTCCCGTCCAAGGGGACTCTGATGTGAATTTGTTGTGAATTTATTGTGCCACAATAGCAGTTCTGGAATGAAGCTAGGAAACGTGTGTGCTTTTTGTTGAGTCAGTGCTTACCAAGCTGATTTGGAGCCACCTTTTCAGTGGTAGCGGGGAAGGCCGTGCGTATTTGCTCTGTTGTGGCACGTTGGCGATGCTGCCACTAGTGTGTGGTTCCCAGGAGCGTCGCAGGCTCTCGGAAATCCTGTCCTGTGTGTTTAGAGGAAGGAGGGGATTCCCCCGGAATGCAGGGAAGCCTGTTTCTGCCCTCACACCACGGAAAGAAACTTGAGGGAAAACTGAGGCGTGAGGTTCCCAGTTTAAGAAAAGTCTGGTTTTCTTCATAGTGGGGAGTCATTATGAATGATACCTCACTTCCTTCTGATGGCTACGTCTGTATCTTTTCCTCCTGGTTTTCTTTTTTTGTGGCAGAATCTCACTGTGTCGCCTGGCTGGAGCGCTGTGGCACGATCTCGGCTCACCGCAACCTCCACCTCCTGGGTTCAATCGATTCTCCTGCCTCAGCCTCCTGAGTAGATGGGATTACAGGCATGCGCCACCACGCCCTGCTAATTTTTATATATTTTTTTCAACTTTTTTTTTTTTTGAGACGGAGTCTCGCTGTGTTGCCCAGGCTGGAGTGCGGTGGCTCTTCACCGGCACGATCCCACTACTGATCAGCACGGGAGTTTTGACCTGCTCCGTTTCTGACCTGGGCCAGTTCACCCCTCCTTAGGCAACCTGGTGGCTCCCGGGAGGTCACCCACCATATTGATGCCGAACTTAGTGCGGATACCCGATCGGCATAGCGCGCTGCAGCCCAGAACTCCTGAGCTCAAGCGTCCTGCCGCCTCAGCCTCCTGAATACCTGGGACTACAGGCACGCACCACCGCGCCTAATTTTTATATTTTTAGTAGAGATGGGGTTTCACCACATTGGCCAGGATGGTCATGATCTCTTGACCTTGTGATCTGCCTGCCTCAGCCTCCAAAGTGCTGGGATTGCAGGCGTGAGCCACCACACCCGGCCCTTTTCCTCCTGTTTTTAATGTTTTACTAAGGAGAGGAACTTGTGAAGCTCCGTGTCTCAGACGGGGCCCTCCCCACGAGAAGCTGGTGGTCAGTGAATGAAAACAAGAACACCCTGGAACATTCCTGGTTGGGGTGGCGACACATTCCTGTACTGCGGTTCTTGAGCCAAACCGATGTTTCTGGGCCGCCTGTCCTTTCTGGGAGCCGGCGAGGGTGTGGGGCAGCGGGTGGGAGTGGACCTTCTGGATGCAGGTGCAGGCCACGGTCCATGCTGCTGCTTCTCGTCCCATCAGCTTCTGGGCCTGAAGGGCTCCCTCTGAGCCACCGCCTTCCTGCAGCTCAGAAGGAAAAGGGTGGGAGAGGGCCAGCCACACCACTTCACACCTCAGCCATGGCTGTGAAACGAGGTGTGTGGTTTTCGTTGTTTTTTTTCTCCTGGGGACGGAGTCTCACTTTGTTGCCCAGGCTGGAGTGCAGGTGCAATCTCAGCTCACTGCACCCTCCGCCTTCCGGGCTCAAGTGATCCTCCCACATCAGCCTCCCGAGTAGCTGGGATGACAGGCATGCACCATCAGGCCCAGCTAATTTTTGTGTTTTTGGTGGAGATGGGCTTTCACCATGTTGGCCAGGCTGGTCTTAAACTCCTGGGCTCAAGTGATCCGCCTGTGTCAGCCTCCCAGAGTGTTGGGATTACAGGCGTGAGCCACCACACTCAGCTGGAGTTGGGCGTTTTTTGTTTTGTTTTGTTTTTTGAGACGGAGTCTTGCTCTGTCACCAGGCTGGAGTGCAGTGGTGTGATCTCGGCTCACTGTAGCCTCCATCTCCTGGGTTCAAGCAATTCTCCTGTCTCAGCCTCCCAGGTAGCTGGGACTACAGGCATGTGCCACCACACCCAGCTAATTTTTGTAGTTTTAGTAGAGACCATGCTGGCCAGGATGGTCTCCATCTCTTGACCTCGTGATCTACCCGCCTCAGCCTCCCAAAGTGCTGGGATTACAGGTGTGAGCTACTCTGTCTGGTCAATTTTTGTATTTTTAGGAGAAATGGGGCTTCACCATGTTGGCCAGCCTGATCTCGAACTCCTCACCTGAAGTGATCCATCCGTCTCAGCCCCCCTCCCAAAGTGCTGGAGTCACAGG